ATGGGGATATGTGTGGAAGTTAACAGTTAACTCTAGACTTGAACAGGATAATAGTCCTGGGTATGACGATAAACTACATCCAGCAGCAAGGCCTCTGATTGGAAGATTAGAGGTTTTGATGAGTGTAAAACCACCTCTTAATTGCTGTTGTTCCCAGGCCGACCCTGACCCTGGGTTGTAGCACCTGTTAGGGTCCCAGCTCTGGGTGAATATTGAACCCGCAAACAAAAACTATAAATTTTTATAATAAAATGACAAATACCTATTTATAGCAAAATGACCAACAATGCATTTTGTCTTTATTTGAAGGCATACATTTGCATCAAAAACTTTTAGATTTCAGCATTAAATAAACCATAGAGGTTGACATGGCGCTAAACAAATGAACATGAACAGGTTAAGATTGTACTAATTGTAGAAACAACCTCTCAGGAGTCTGTTCCATAAGGCAGTGGTTCATGAAAATACAAAGGGAATCAGTGTGGTTTGCTATAATGTGCTTGGCTTGGTGAGTCTTAGCTATGAAGGTTAGGACAAGTAGAACTAAAGAATATAGTTAGCCAGAACACTTTTCATATAGAGCAGTGAGAGTCTTGCAACTTTTTGTCTTGTGGGAAAGAGGTTGTAGAATGGAAAATAATTCATCAGCCACAAGGACGCTTTTGGACTCTATAGAGACTGAAAAGTCAAGAGTGTGCAATTCTGGCCCATATATGACTAAGCTTTATTGCATCAAAAATACTTGCTTGAATAGTAATCCGAATAGAGAAATAGTATAGTGAATAGAGTAGAGAATAGCGGTCTGTATATTAATAGAGGATAGACTAGAAATTGTGATCAATCTAGATGTCACACAACTTCCTATATATGCATTTCATATATGGTCACATGATCCACTTGATTCAATAATGGGATCACCTGTATTTGTTCACTGGCGATCTATGTTCAAACTCAAGTGTCGGCAGTGACACTTTATTCCTATATAACACTCATACTTTTGCAATGAATGCCAAAAATTTGTGCTGCATTAATCAAGGCTAAAGAAGGATATTTTGACAAGAGCAAAATTTAATCATAAAATGCTTTTTTTCTTTTTGTCATAATAAAATTTCTAAATAAAAGATCATAACTCACTTTATTTTAACCTTGTAAAATAATTTTCTCTTATTTAAAGTACAAAACAACTAATTTGGGAGCCAATTTAAAAAAATTATCAGGGATGCCATCAGACTTTTGAAATCTAGTGTAGGTAAATACATATATTATATATGGGAAAAACAATATATAATTTTTTGTATATTAGCCCTAGAACACTAACCATGGGTATATAGTACCCAGCGCAAATTTTCCTATTTTTAATTACAATTTTCAGTACCTGATTTTCTTACCTAAATAATGTGTTTTTCAGTTTCTATTAATGTTAACTCAAAGTACAAAGTTTGAAGTGCCTGCATGTAAAATATTTCAAATAAAGCGATGATTAGAATCCATGTTTGATGGATGTCAGTTATCAGCTATCTCCTGTTAATGTCCCTCTGAAAGTTCTCCACTGCCTTAACCGGGTATTGAACTCACACTCTTTGGGTCCTGTCACTGGATCTAACCAACACCTTTATCCACTGTGCCATGTGTCCTTGAGGATAACAGACATCCATCAAACATGGCACGTGGAATTAGAACAGTCTACCCCAGTGAGCGAAATAAAGGGTTCAGTTCGACATTCCAACCACCTGAAGAAGGCCAGAGTGTACAACGGCCGAAACGCTGTGATAGATATGGCGAAAAAGATGAGGACAATAGTCCGAATAATGTAAATAATGTACATAATACCTCATTTCAGAAATATAGACAGATTCTTTTTTTTTGTTGTAAATAGCACCCATAATATATGTTTTTGCACTTATATGGAAAGTGGAACTTTGTCTGAACTTCTGGTATGAGGAGTTATCATTATTCACACTATTTACATTTGTAGGTTACCTGAATTGATATGATGAAGGCCATTTGTTTTATTATTATTTATTCATTCTCCTCCTTCTAAGAAAAGATGAAGAGAAGGATAGTGGATAGATCAGGGCATCTGGAGACGTCAATTGACATTACATTTGAATAGTTGGAGATTATAGTTATCAGGGAAACAGGAAGAGGGGAGGGAGTTCCACAGGCAAGAAGTGCAAGACATGAAGCTATTGGAGTAGAAGAGATAGCTATATTTAAAAGTTTCAACAGTGAAAGGGTGAGAGCGAGATGCCAGCCAAGTTGAACGCATAAATTGAAGCAGTTACCGTGAAAGTACTTGTCAAAAAAAAAAACAGGAGGTGACGGCATGTCTGTGAGAGAGCAACAGCAGACGAGATGCCAGATCAGAGCCAATTACATTGCATATCTGTCTATGGATTTTATCAAGAATCTTGAGAAAATTAGAAGGGGCTCCAGGCCATATATGGCAGCAATAATCCATGCAAGGGTGAATGGTTGATATTACTTATTATTATCATTCTTATTATCATTCCTTATTATTATTCCTTCTCATTATTATCATTGTTTATTATTATTAATATTCCTTCATATTATCATTCACTATTATTATTATCATTCATTTCATCATCTTATTATTATTATTATTATCATTCCTTATTATTATTATTCCTTCACATTATTATCATTCTTTTATTCATTATTATTGTTCCTTATTATTATTATTATAATTTTTTATTCAATATTATTATTGTTCCTTATTTTTATTATTATTCCTTCTCATTATTATCAGTCTTTTATTCATTATTATTATTACTTCTCATTATTGTCATTGTTTATTATTAGTAATATTCCTTCTTATTATCATTCATTTCTTATTATTATTATCATCATTTCTTTTTATTATTATTTTTTCTTCTTCATTTCCTTTCCTTACATTTGTTTTTATTGGTTTTCATAGGGGGGGGCTTCAATTTTAAATGGATTTACATATAACTAACTCAAATCCCCTCGGCCCTCTTCAAAATTTAGGGAAATACAAAAAAAATTCAAATGCATATATATTCATGATCTGGGGAGTATTTGAAAAAAAAAAAAAAAAAGATTTTTTTTCTTGTAGAGGTGTGTTTTTTGTAGAAACGCCAACTGTTCTTATACATAATCACATCACTGAGCATGTGCAAGATCAGTAAAAATATAAATCTAAAAATACTCTTTGACAACAAATGGCAGGAAAAGATTTATTACATAGGTTCTCCCCCCCCCAAAAAAAAACACCCAGAAATCCACTAATTATTGGTACATGTGTATCAGAGATGTGTAATATCATTTTCTTGGTGATATCATGGCACAAACGAGAGTCAAGGGTCTGTGGAAAGGACGCCAATGCTATGGCCCTCGGCCAAGAATTATTTGATCACCAGCCAAGTTCTCAGCAGGTGTCTTTAAGTGTGACCAGAATCTGGAGATAAGAATTTTAAAGTAGAAGAAAAAGAATATTCAACAATATGACAAGTATAATTAAAGACTCTAGTCTTTAAGATACAATTATCAACAACAGATCACAGTAGCAGGAATAGACTTAATATCATTTTATTTCTGTTAAAATTCACCCAATGCTTGAAAGCTGCTTAAGGTAAAGAGTTACTATTTGAAGTGGAGCAAAATCTATTTTTCTTACATCTGGGACATTTATTTTGATCATTTCACCCCAATCAAGGTGATAATGCCATTAAGATGCATGGGGTTACTGGGAGTGAAAGAGAATGAGAAGACTTCAGTGAGGAGAAAGGACAATAAAAGAACAAGTTTAAGGAAGACAGATGTTGTTGATAATGCCACTAAGATGCAAGTAGTTCCTGGGGGCGAAAGAGAATGCGAAGACTTTAGTGAGGAGAAAAGGCAATAAAAGAAGAAGTTTCAGGAAGACAGAAGATGGTGATAATGCCACTAAGACACAAGTGGTTACTGGGAGTGAAAGAGAATGAGAAGACTTTAGTGAGGAGAAAGAAAAATAAAAGAATAGGTTTCAGGAAGACAGAAGATATCAGTTGACATTGCATTTAAATTTTTAAAGGTTATAGGTGACAGAGAATCAAGAAACCAGAATAGAGTTCCACAGGTGAGAAGTGCGAGAAAAGAAGCTATTAGAATAGTATTTACAGTTACATCTCACTATTTCAACAGTAAAACAATGAGGCCTAGTTACCAATCTAGTACTATGTTTAAATTCATGTGATCAAGGTACCGAGAAAGAAAGCTTATTAGAATAACTCTCTTTCACTCTCTCCCACCTTAATAATGTTTTCTTTTTCTCATACACACTATAAATCTTTACATCTTAGTGGCTTTATTGCCTTCTTTGGAGTGAACTATTTTGATTGATTCATTTTCTTCAACTTATCAACAATTTGCAAATTATTTTTAACCAGAAAATTTTTTTAGATTGTAAGAATTTGTTTTGAGATAATAATGGTTTAATGATACAAGTTTTACTAATTAACCCATAGGTAAGGGGATAAGATGTGAATTCATACATTTCCCAAGGGTATTTGCACGTAAGAAACCCAATGGGAATTGGAACTCGACAATAGTTCCAACTCATTATCCATTACAACACCTACACACCCAAGCTTATAACACCTGGTATTCGCAAACGGTCACCCATCTAGGTACTGACCAGGCTCGACTTTGCTGAACTTTGGTGATTGTATGGGAACCGGTACTTCAACATGATGTGGCAATAAGAGAAAATAAAAATGTGATAGAGGAAAATGATTTCTTTTTCTTACATTATTTCACAATCAGTAACCCTTTGTGTCTTAGTGGCTTTATTTCCTTGTTTGGGGTACACAAAAGAAAAGTTGGAGAGAGGAAAGTAGCGAGGAAAAACAAGTTGTGCAAATGAATGGCAGAACAAAAACTGGAAAGATGCGTAAGTGAATATATCGAATCCATTGGGAATTGGAACTCAACAATAATTCCGACTCATTATCCATTACAACACCTACACATTCAAGCTTATAACATTTGGTATTCGCAAACGGTCACCCATCTAGGTACTGACCAGGCTCGACGTTGCTTAACTTCGGTGATCATATGGGAACCGGTATTTCAACGTGATGTGGCCAGAAGAGAAAATTAAATGTGATAGAGGAAAATGGTTTCTTTTTCTTACATTATTTCACAATCAGTAACCCTTTGCGTCTTAGTGGCTTTATTTCCTTGTTTGCAGTGAACAAAAGAAAAATCAGAGAGAGGAAAGTAGCGAGTACAAAAAGTTATCTAAATGAATGACATGGGAAGATGTAGAGGACCATGATCATCCATGTCCTGTAGGGATAAAACACATAAAGAAAGAACTTCATCAGTGGCTAGTATATAGAACAAGAATAGTCTTATGAATCAGTCTTGTACTCGAATATAATTTCAATTAGATACAATCTGGAATCAAAATCGGATGGAATGCTGTCAACACATTACAATATTTATTTGTCTTTTGATTATACAATATCTTCAATGAACTCATTAGGATTAACCTTCCAAAATTAAAACTTGCTTTTTCTTCCGATAAATGTTTACAAGCACTGGAATGAAAATTCATTATTAACACAAAAAAAGCCATATTTTCGTTCAGTTGAAACATTTTCCTTGAAGAGAAAACAAAACAAATGAAGAATCTGTTTTGTTAATCTATCTCTTTTGAACTAATCTTGAATATGAGAAATGCATTGTTTTCTTAACTCTTCCATTTGGAGAGTTCCAATTCATTCCTCCATTAGATATATTGAAAAGCAGTTTTACCAGAAACAAACAAGAATAAACTAACATGGAGAAGGATTAATCCTTGTCATGCCATCAGAAATCAAGATCAACTCAACAGATATTCAATAATATTAAACTTTAATCTATCTTCTGCAATTTGACTGTGGGAAAATAATCCTGTGAAATCAAAACAGATTCAATGTTTTTCTTTTTTTAACTCACGCAATTGGAGAGTTCTACACCGAGCAGATTGGAAAATATATTTATCACTTTGGAATAAAGATGTTGTTTAAGAACAAAAATATGTTTATAAATTATGAAGAAAGTAAGGAATTCTTTATTGAAGAAGTGGAATGAAAAACAAAGAGAGAAAATATGAAGAGAATGAAAGGAGAAGACGCAGATTTCTCTGAAGAAAGAAATGGATGTATAAAATTCCAGGAAATGTTTTGCTCAACAATGACAGAATTTTCTTCTTATACACTTTGCATTCTTTTTGTTGACGGTTTTTAAATTTCCATTCACTTTTACTTTCATTCTTTATTTTTCATTCTATTTTCATTTTTTTTTTCATTACTTTATCATTTTTTACTTTGTTTTCATTTTTTAATTCATTTTTTATTCTGCTTTCATTCTTTTTGTTAAAGATTTTTAAATTTACATTCATTTTCATTTGATTTTACATTCATTGTTTTTCATTTGTTTTCATTTTTTACATTCTTTTTCCATTCATTTTTCATTCTTTTTTCATTAAAAGTTTAAAATTTCGATTCACCTTTACGTTCATTCTTTTTTATTCTTTATTTATCATTTTTTCATTCTTTTATTCATTTTTTTTGTTTTCATTTTTTTCATTTCTTTTGTTAACAGTTTTAAAATTCCATTCACATTCAATTTTACATTAATTATTTTTCATTCATTTTTTTCTATTCTTTTTTCATTTGTTTGTTTTCTTTATTTTGTTATAAAATTTTAAATTTCCATTCACTTTTATTTTCCTTCTTTGTTTTCAATCTTTTTATTAAAATTCAAATTTTTTTTATTTTGACTATTTTTTTTTAACCCTTATTTATTTTTCATTCTTTTTTCAGTCAAATATATTTTTGCATTTGGTAAACTGTTCTCATTCCACTACCCATGAGAACAGTCTAGCCCCATTGATTAAATAAAGGGTTCAGTTTGGAATTGACTATAGGTTACCTGGATTTATATACACCTGATGAAGTCTGGAGGACACAACGGCTGAAACTTTGTAATAACAACAACAATGAAGAAAATAGTCTGAATGCAAATAATGTAAAAAACTCCTCATCACAGAAATTCAAACAATAAGTGAATGTAAGAAACTTGACTGAAATTTGAACGTGGATCTCTGATTTTCCACATCCTTGGGACACTGGTTATGTAGGCCTGTGGAAAAGTGAATAGAAAAGATGACAGCCGAGTTTGAATTTCAGTCAATTTCGTTACATTCATTTAAGTGCAAATACCTTTGAAAAAAAGGTATGAATCCATCTTTCCCCCCAGCTATGGGATAAATAGTAGCACTGGAATCTGGAAGGAGGCGGCATGGTGGATAGCGGCTTGAACAGAGAAATCAAAGAGCTGAGTTTGAATTCTAGTCAAATCCATTACATTCACTTACATGCTAATGCCATTGAGAAAGGTATGAATCCTCTTCTTCTCTCCTCAGCTATGGGTAAATAGCAAGACAGAACAGGTTCTATAGCCTTGGATGGTAACTGGTCTTCAGCAGAAAGAAATGGCAACCTACTGCAGGAAAAAAATCTGCCTCGTCAGTCATGTATCAAAAAATACATGATTGCCTAAGTGTGTATCACGCATGACACATAACTGACTGAATATATCTGGAAAAAAAATCATTTCCAATGCAATATTCATTTGCAAAAAAAATTATTCTTAGAATCCAAAGTAGGTTTCAACTTTAAATAACACGCAAAGGTTTGATAAGCTGTAAAAATCAAACCCAATGTTTGGTCTATATATATATATATATATATATATATATTTTTGTTCTTTCTTTAGTGTATTGATTTACAAGCATAAAAAAGGATCAAAGTGAAATTGTTTTTATTGTGTTGGGAGTGTTAAGGACATTTTTTAAAAATAAAATGTAGCAGCATTTTTCTTACTTTTTTTTTTTTTAATCATTTCACCCCAAGCAAAGTGATAATGCCACTAAGACGCAAATATGTTACAACAGGAAAATGCTTGAAAATCTCTTCCCTGGAAAATGGACACATTGTTATATTCTTGGGCATGACAGCCTGATGGAACCTAATCCACTCCTAGCTGGCTTGAATTCAGCTTTCCTTCTCCGAGACTAGTTGCCAGCCAAGGCTATAGGACCCAGTTTGTTTTGCTATTCAACCCATAGCTGGAGGGAAAAGTGGATTCATACCTTTCCCAAGTGTAATTAAATGTAAATGAATGTAACAATCTTTACTGGAATTTGAACTCGGATCTCTGATTAACAATTCTGAGCCATTATCCATTATACAACCCAGAAATCAACACCTTGGAACACTCGAAGAGTGAAGACTTTTCGACAGCAATTAGAAAGAGTTGATAATTAAATTGGTTGTGAAGTCTATGATCTCGACTGAGGTCAAATAAAAAAAACAAATCACATGATGCACAATAATGGTGACAGAAAGTGTGGCAAGAACTGGCATAAACAAATGCAACAAAAATAAGACCTGATGAAATACGCCATGATAAGCTGAGGAATATCATACATGTATAATTTTATCACACTAACATACCCAATCAAGTGAAACAAGCATTGACAGTAAGAGAATGCGGACACAGCAAGACAGATATTAATGGTAACCAATTCATGAAACCTAATCGGGGTTATTGTATCCTGCAAAACACATGTTCAACTTGATGAGGAAAGCAAAAAAGAAATAAAGACAAAACAATGTAACGTTTGAGTAATCTTGCAAATGTACTAGTTATTTGCGACAGGAGTAGGCTTATGACCCTGTCATGCTGAAACACACAGAGTTAATGTTGAGCCTGGTCATTACCTAGATGGGTGACCACTTGGGGATATCAGTTACTCTAAGACTGGAGGTACAAATAATTTAATGGGCTTGTGGCTGAATCACATTGAAACACCAATTCCCATACAATCACTAGAGTTAAGCAATGTCGAGCCTGGTCAGTACCTTGATGGGTGACCACTTGGGAATACCGGGTACACTAAGATTGGATGTGCAAGTGATTTAATGGGCTTGTGGCTGAATCACATTGAAACACCAATTCCCATACAATAGAGTTAAGCAACATCGAGCCTGGTCAGTACCTAGATGGGTGACCACTTTGGAATACAAGGTACTCTAAGACTGGAGGTACAAATAATTTAATGGGCTTGTGGCTGAATCACCTCTAAACATCAATTCCCATACAATCACTAGAGTTAAGCAACGTCGAGCTTGGTCATTACCTAGATGGGTGACCACTTGGGGATATCAGTTACTCTAAGACTGGATGTGCAAGTGATTTAATGGGCTTGTGGCTGAATCACATTGAAACACCAATTCCCATACAATAGAGTTAAGCAACATCGAGCCTGGTCAGTACCTAGATGGGTGACCACTTTGGAATACAAGGTACTCTAAGACTGGAGGTACAAATAATTTAATGGGCTTGTGGCTGAATCACCTCTAAACATCAATTCCCATACAATCATTAGAGTTAAGCAACGTCAAGCCTGGTCATTACCTAGATGGGTGACCACTTGGGGATATCAGTTACTCTAAGATTGGATGGGCTTGTGGCTGAATCACATTGATTTAGAGTTAAGCAACATGGGCCTTCAGTACCTAGATGGGGCTGAACATTTTGAAACTAAACATCAATTCCCATACAAATAGAGTTAAGCAACATCGAGCCTGGTCAGTACCTAGATGGGTGACCACTTTGGAATACTGGATGTAAAAGTGATTTAAGGTACTCTAAGACTGGAGGTACAAATAATTTAATGGGTACAAATAATTTAATGGCTGAATGAACCTCTAAACATCAATTCCCATACAATCACTAGAGTTAAGCAATGTCAAGCCTGGTCATTACCTAGATGGGTGACCACTTGGGGATATCAGTTACTCTAAGATTGGATGTGCAAGTGATTTAATGGGCTTGTGGCTGAATCACATTGAAACACCAATTCCCATACAATAGAGTTAAGCAACATCGAGCCTGGTCAGTACCTAGATGGGTGACCACTTTGGAATACAAGGTACTCTAAGACTGGAGGTACAAATAATTTAATGGGCTTGTGGCTGAATCACCTCTAAACATCAATTCCCATACAATCATTAGAGTTAAACAACGTCGA